ACAAGCATGCCGCAAGTTTATTGTAAAACAACGTCATCTAGAAACCAGGATCACCCAGATTATCGCTAAGCTTCCAAAACTTGGAGCTGACTTATGCCTTGTTGTATAATTTTTTTTTTAATTTTATCTAGCCCTTTTTTTGGAGGTAAATACGAATAGTGCCTGGAATAAGAATTTAATATTCACTCAGATTGTTTCTAGAAGTTTAACTCCATGTACTACTGCTGTATTTGTATGTCGCGCAGTATACATTTGTAAACTCCTGTAAAGTCTTGTTTTTGTAAAGTGTATTTGTAATGTGTAAGAGTATGTTCTGCTTTAAAATAATTTAAGTATCTCAAATAATGTAATAATTATGTCCTGAGCCATCAACGGCTACAATATCTTGCAATGTTAATTTAGAAGTCAAACAACAAAAATCAGCGTTATATTTTCAAATTTTCACAGGACTAGTTTCGATGGTTTTACCGAGCCATCATCCTCAGCTGCGAAAGCGCAAATGAACGAGATAAGATATAGTGATTACATAAAAAAGACTGGACAGAAGTTAAGCTACTGGCGCCATCTGTAGATGAAACGAGAACTAAAACATATTTTCCTTAAAGGCTGAAGACAAAGATGGATTGGAATTAGTGTCATTAACTATAACAGAAAGATTTTTTAAATGTGAAATGCCATTTTTTTAATGTGATTTGAAACTATAACGCTGATTTTTGTTGTAGACTTCTAAATTAATACTTGTTTGGCATGTTATTGTATCTTAATCTTACAATGTTATCTGATATACTATCTTCTAATGCTAGATGTGCGAGGACGCGATGCAGTACCAAACGTCTTGATAGGATGATGGTGCCTCCCGTCAACTGTCACCTGTCATTTCTACTTTCGCTCTTTCCACTAGTATGCAAATTAGATAAAGTATATAAGAACAGAGTTCTTGAAGTTGATAAAGATTTTTTGGCAGCGACCGCTAACTCCTCAAACCAATTTCGCCCACCTACTAAACTTTACCTAAAACGGCTTTAGTCTTTGATATCCGTGTTTTGCTCGTGTGATTAGAAAGTCTGAGCCAAAGCTTACACTTTGCCTCCTGAAATGTATACTTTAATTGAGTTTTACTTTGATTTTCATGTTTAAATCCCAAAAGAAACGATTTTATTCTGCTAATTACACGAGTTGTGTAAGTTAACGTCTAATAAAAAGTTCATATTTCTAAACCTTTTTTGTCAGTTCGTAGTTATTTATCTGGTTGAGGTAATAAATCGCCTGAGTGTCTACACGGAGCCAGGCACTCAACTTGAATAATGCCTGGAAACTGAGCAAATTTTAGTTTAGCCCACAGCAAGATTACAAGCTGGAGAAATGCCGACAAGCCCGATGGAAGTTTTCGGGTATTTGAGTAAATGCCATGCGAGCTTCGATGAAGCCACTGTCAATTTTAATGGTAGGAGGTCTCTATTAACTTTTGTGGAATTGCTGGAAAACCATCGTATCCAATTAATGAGCAACAAAAATTTACCATAGCAACATCCGTTTTAAAGGGCCAGGTTTTGAATTGATTCAAATGCGTCGGGAGACGTTCGTTAGATTAACCTGGCAGTGAGACAGAAAAAAATTGTCGTCTTTAAAGCTGCCGTATTGAAAGCATTTTTGGCAGTAAGGGGCATGGCTCGGTTGGTGTTGGTGCTGTTCGTGAAGCACAGAGTGCTAGGCGAAGGACTGACGCCGTTTGTGCTGAGGAAAGATAGAAATTGTTAAACTGTTGTACGGCAGGAAAGAGAATGTTGAAATCATTGCCAAGGTTACTACTGCACGTGGCCAAGATTGCTAACTTCACTTGTAGGATTTTGTTGATTTGAGGAAGTCCAGTAAATTGGAAGAATTATTTGAGATGGCTGAAAAATGTGAGAGCAGTATAGTGGCTGAAAGTAGTCGTATGCGGAAATAAGATAATAGGTTGTGAGGTTTATCTATTTATTTTTAACTAATAGTTCATTTTAAGTTTGACTTTACTATTCTCTTTTCACACACGCTTTTCATGCCAGAATATAAATGAGATAGCGAGAGTTTATTCTCATTGAGGTAGAACGAAGTGCTGTTTAAGAAAAAGTTTCGGAAGTTATTTTTACAGCGTGTCCGGGCCACGTTGTGCTGTGATTATTAGCGACTTGCGTTAGCGGCATTGATACGTTCTCGCCATTAGGCCTGCCTCTCCCGTTTACTACAAACCAGAGGTCTTCCTGCGCGTTAAAGCATTCTGCGAGCCGTTAGGCTAATCTACCACACGTTAAAACAGAAGTTTTGGCTGCCTGTAACGTAAATTAGGTCATTTGTTAATTTTATGCCTGAATAAAAAGGTCTATACACCCTTCTTCTGATATCTGTTTAGTTTCACGTGGCTAGAAGATGGCCTGTATTCAACAATGCATTTCAAGAGGCCTTTTAAAAGTTTATGTTCCCAAAGAGACATAGACTTTACAAGGTAGCTATGGAAAGTAATTCGGCACAACAGATAATAATAAATTCGGCGGGGGAAACGAAGGATGTGTAATAATGTAATAATTATGTCCTGAGCCATCAACGGCTACAATATCTTGCAATGTAATTTAGAAGTCAAACAACAAAAATCAGCGTTATATTTTCAAATTTTCACAGGACTAGTTTCGATGGTTTTACCGAGCCATCATCCTCAGCTGCGAAAGCGCAAATGAACGAGATAAGATATAGTGATTACATAAAAAAGACTGGACAGAAGTTAAGCTACTGGCGCCATCTGTAGATGAAACGAGAACTAAAACATATTTTCCTTAAAGGCTGAAGACAAAGATGGATTGGAATTAGTGTCATTAACTATAACAGAAAGATTTTTTTAATGTGAAATGCCATTTTTTTAATGTGATTTGAAACTATAACGCTGATTTTTGTTGTTAGACTTCTAAATTAATACTTGTTTGGCATGTTATTGTATCTTAATCTTAGCACAGTAGCTAGTAGAGTAGACAAGGTGGCGATCACTGCGGTGGGATGAAAAAGGGTTTTGAGGGGAAGGAAAACTGGGTGTTTGAGAGGAAGGAAAAACGGGCAGTCATCCCCAGGGATAAATAGTCCTTCTAAGTCTCTTCTAAGTCCTGAGTCACCCCAAGACAAAAAAAAAAGGCCTCTCCAATTTCATTAGCATACGATGTAGTTGAAGAATGTCGAAATTATTTACATGCAGGTTATGTTGAATGAAATGCATTGTTGAATACAGGGGCACAGAGAATTTTTAACAGATGCTTTAAGACGTACAGGTTGTTTGAAGTTGTAGGTACAAATGTCGTTAAGAACGAAAGACATTGCGTTTTGTTTTACGTAGTCAGGATTTTGCAGGCAAAAGGATATTTTTTCTCCCCCTGAAAGCAGTAACAGTGCGCATTGATTCTCATGCCAGTATCTAGTTGCTGTGATTTTATGATAATTTCCTTAATTATTGGTAGGGTTTGTTACACTTTTTAATTTTCTATAATTAATAGCGAAATGCCACGGTTTACGATTTATGGGAAGTAGATTTTTCTTTTTGTGACGTAAAACTACAGGGAGTCTACCTAGAATCTACCTGTAGATTCTATCGTAGAGTCTACCTGTGGATATTATTACTTTATTCTTAAGAATATGCTTTTCTATTACTCCTTCGTTCACCGCATCGTACAGATAGGGTTTAGTTTCATATTATACTGATAGGGTTTGCTCAACATCGATCTAACCACATTATCTTCGTTATGAGTAACTACATGCATTAATCCTGTGTTCTCGTCAAATAACGCCAAAAACGGTCTTCCCAATTTCAGAGTCCTTTCTTTTTCCTCCGGAGGCAGGTTTTGCTGGTATACCCGGCTGGTGGTTTTGATTCTTTTTTCCTTCATACCATCCATTTGCAGTTGTACAGTCTTCTCCTCAAAGTCAATGCACCTACCTGCAGATTTCAAAATTGTTGAATACAGGGGCACAGAGAATTTAAAATTTGAAATTATGCAAAATATTCTCCTAAAATAATGAATTAGATTTTTTTTAAATGTAGCCCTTAATTTAATGCTGTAACTAATTTTTGGTCACTTTGTAGAGACATTAGGTATTTTTTGAAAGCAGGAAAAGTGAAAAATGAGCAATGCCCTCGCCGGGACTCGAACCACGGACCTCTCGAATACGCGTCGAACGTGCTAACCACTACACCCTGAAGGCATGCTAAGAAAGCGGGAGAAATACCTTATAATTTGATTAACTTATTAATTATTAAATACTACATTTCCATTTTTAAATAGTGGTAACATACAGAATCAATTTATGTAATGTAAATAATATACGGGAATTCGCAAGATTTTTTTAAGGATACTGCATTTTAATCTGCGCCAGGAGTAATTCAAACCAGGTATTTGATAGATTGTGGGGCAGAAAATAATTTAAATTGCAAAACAGAACTAACTTAAGTGAATTTACAATTTTACAGTAGAATGCTTTGAACAACTTTTTAAGTTTGTTTTAGTTTGCCATCCAATGCATTCCTAGTTCTTATCTTCGCTTCATTGCCCATGATACATTAGTTTATGAAACAGTCTATACTGATAATATTGGTATGAGAAACGTATTATAGTAAATTGTTTATTATTAATACTCGTATTTTAGGCCTCAGACAAACATTTTCTTCGTGCTCTCCTCAGATAAAATGCCAGATGCATACAAAAGAAGTGAATAATCGTGACTGTGTCAGACTTGCTGAACGAACTTATTTGATTCCGAAATTTTCTTGTAAAACTACCAGTAAATTGTGAATGCTTTCCTTTTAAAATTCATCTCCTTTCAAAGACATTTCATTAGAAGCTATTCGAATTCAAACACCTAGACTTAATATTATTAAAAACTGGAATTTTAAATTGCAAATATTAATCATTCAAGCATAGATTAATTATAATAAGCTAATTTGATAGAAATAGGGCTCTCGATTACTACGATTTTCTTAATTCCAGATTTCTGGCCTTCATGAAATTGATGAAGTTTTTCTCTGCGGTTACAGCGATGATGCAACTGAATATCAATCATATCACACTGATGGCAAGGCTCTGCAGCTGAACTTCGTTACCGTAAACAAAACTGAAACTCGATATCATTCTGGTTTTATATTTGTGGTAACATCCTATGTAAAACGTAAGTCTAAAAGGATATATTATCTAGAAATTTGAATATTATAAATATTGAAAATTTATGTATTCTTCATTAACATAGGCTTATTAACTTTTTAATAGATTTGTAATTCTTCTGCCATAGCTAAGAAATATCTAAAAGTGCTTCGTAATTAATGCAAATATTAGCTAGAAACAAGCTAAAATGTTTTAATATTGATGAATAATGATATCGCTCTTTTAGTAATAATCAAGAAGGGCAGAAAATTAAAATTTCACACTTGAAAAGCACAATAAAAAGTTGCCTGGTGAAAAGAAGTCAGTAGTGAATTAAATATCTGGAAAGAGATAATTAATACAGATAGGAATTTAATCATTTATTAGAGGGGGAAGAGTTTCCTTAATGCACAGCACTATAAAATTTCCAACCAAAATTCTTTTAATACTTTTCTCAAAATTAACTAAACACATTGCCAAGAAAGCAAGCATAATAAATACACTGCTCGACATTGAAAATGCAACACCAAGAACGAGTGGTCAGAAATTTATGCAAATTTTAGAGTAGACGCACGTCACTGAGTTATGCGAATGATGTGAAATGCGCAACTCTCCGACGCACGTGAAGTAAAATATAAGGGAAGGAACGTGCAGAATGGGCAATATTCGTGTCGTTATTTCTGCCAGACGAATTATCCAAGAAACTTTGGTTTTTGTCCCGGAGGATACGTGTAATAGGAGAGAATGCCAGACCGCCGTCAACGAAGGCACTTCCAGCAGATAGACGATTTTACGAAGGGTATGGTGATCGGACTGAGAAGGGCGGGTTGGTCCTTACGTCAAATCGCAGCTGATACTCACATGGATGCGAGCAAGGTGCATCGGCTAAGGCGATCATGGTTGGAACAAAAAATGTGTGGAAGAAGGAAGGGTGCAGGTGCAGCCAGAGTGACGTCAGCACGCGTGGATCAACGCATCCACCGACAAGCTGTGGCAGTTCCGCAAGTCACTAGTACCGCGATTCTGCAGCATGTGCAAGATACCCTGGATATTCCCGCGTCGACCAGAACCATTTCCCGTCGATTGGTTGAACGTGACCTGGACTCACGGCGTCCGTTAAGAAGACTGCCATTGACCCCACATCATAGACGCTAACGTTTAGAATGGTGCCGGACTGGAGTGATGTGGATGACAGAATGGCGAAACGTCGTGTTCTCAGATGATTCACGCTTCTGTTTATCCAGTGACAGTCGCTGCATACGTGTGTGGCATCGACGTGGAGACAGACCTAATCCAGCAGTAACTGTGGAACGCCCCACCGCGCGACAACGTGGCATAATGGTTTGGGGCGCTATAGCCTACGATTCCAGGTCACCTCTAGTTCGTATTCAGTATTCAGGGCACTATGACGGCCCAACGGTACTTGGATAATGTACTGCGGCCGGTGGAAATCAGGGGGTGTTTAATGCCTTCAGGGGGTGTTTAATGCAATTTTTCAGCAGGATAACGCCCGACCACACAGTGCTCGCATCTGCCAACATGCTCTGCAAGATGCTCTGCAACAGATGCTTCTCTGGTCACCGTACTCTCCTGACCTGTCACCAATCGAACATGTGTGGGACGTGATTGGACACCGTTTGCAGACTTTGCCCCTGCCTCGTTCAGAAGACGAACTGTGGCAAATGCCTGAAAGGGAATGGAGTGCCATCCCTCAGGACACCATCCGCACTCTTATTGACTGTATGCCTAGACGTGTTTCTTCGTGCATCGCTGTCCGCGGTAGTACTACATCCTACTGAGCCGACGCCGTTCACGCCCTGTATTCTGACTATCATTTTGAAATAAAGATCACTTATTGCTGCTTGCTGTCTCTGTCTTTTTCCAAATTTCGTCACTTTCTGACCACTCCTTCTTGGTGTTGCATTTTCAATGTCGAGCAGTGTATAATTTTTTTCCCTGTTCGAATTATAAGTTTAATTTTCTTTGATACGAATTTAAGAATGACGTCTTAGTGTCACCAGTGCTGAAGTAATACACAAAAGAGTACTATGAATTACACGGGAATTCAAATCTGGACTGAGATCCCTAAGAAACCAGTACACACTTCATTGATGGGAAAAAAAAAATCGAAACTCAAATTCATAAAAAATCTGCGGCATTTTTTTACCTATATATAAAAATTACATCAAAACTGTTTCGATCGTTATCAGTTATGAATCATAAGCAACAGGAATTTGGGGGGAGGGGCGGAGAAAAGTTGTATATTTAATTCAAAATTTCAGGGCTTCATATAATAACAGTAAAGCTCACAACCAAAACAGCCTTTCAAATTACACTAAATAGCATCCTCCGTTTTCGAATACCTTCAGCAATCGTTTTTATACTGTATAGAGGGGACTTCTTTCATTGTATTTGCATCTTTATAAAATATTTTCAATATTTTTCAGTATAATTATTTTTATGCATGCTGCGCAGCGCCCTGTCGCTAAAAAGTTAACTAGGTAATTATCTCCTCTTTCCCCAAAATGGCTTCTTGCTTGAAAATTATTTCCTTCAATTCATACTCCACTATGCCAAATTTTTTATTTTGATAAAGTCTTTAGGCACTATATTAGAAATCTATGTACCATATGTTCTCGAATCCCCCCTTCTTTTTTAACTAATTTTATCGTCCGAAAATTGAAATTATGCGAGCAATTTAATTTCTGAAGAAAACGGCTACAGTAAGAACGTAAAAAATGAAAAGTAGTTATAGAAAACTATTGGTAACGATCAAAATTATTTTTAATAGAAACTTGCATTCCAATAAGAACGCATTGTAATATTGTTGCGTGCGTACGGCTTCATAATAGATTTAATGCACGAGTCCAATAATAAGTTAATAAAATTTATTCTTATCAAAAGAAATATAACAGGACTCTGGAATTTGGACTCTGGAAAAATATTCGTGCAAGTGTTCACAATATCACGCAGTAATAATCAGTAGTTACACTTCAACTACTAAAAAAGTTTTAAATAGAACGCAATGCACAGCGCATTTAAAAAGTAAGCTAATCCGATTTATCTCCAAGTCACGTGGAACTACAACTCGCAACAACAAAGCAGCTAACTGAGATGCTCTTTGTCTGGCTTTTTATAGATGTCAACCCGTCGCGAAGTATTTCTCATATTTTCTGTTTCTGGACATTACTGGAAAGAATTACTGGAAAGAGAATGGAAATGCGGTTACAGCTAACATACAAAGAATCTGTATAAAATACGTTTCAAATAGTAAATTTAAGGGAAAATAAAATGGATGAAATGCTAATATAAAAAAGCAAATACAAATTGAATACGCTGAATAAAAATAAAAACATTCAATGGAATACAATTTACCAATAAACTAGCACTTACAGAAAAAATCTATGTACAATAGAGAAAGGGAAAAATTATGCGAATATTTAAAAAAATTTCAGAATCTAGCGCTAAAAAGCTAGGGAGAAAAATAAGCGAAGGATGTACAGTATATTCAACTTTATCTATTTCTTCCAAGTTCGGATCTTCATGCATGCATCCTTTTTCTAATACACGTACGGTAATAATTGGAAGTATTTTCTCTTTTGATTCAGTATAACTTAGCTAGCAAGTCATGAATATAAATAGATTTTAGTTATTTAATAACAGACTGACCGGTACTCTGAAAGTCATAAACCGCGGTATAATGACTTAAAAAAGAATTATGTATCTACATATAAGTAAAGAAATACAAATGCAAAGGGGACTGCAAGAAAACTGCAGTGTAAAATAACATAGTGAACGCCATATAGATAACAATATAAGAAGAAAGTAAACGAAGAAGTCTAAAAGACGTAAGGATTTCCAGAAAACGCGAGAAAATACCTTAGTTGGGGGATAGGTGATCTGAAACTGAAGACTCAGGAGGAAAAAAAAAAACTTAAAACAATAATTAAAGCCTGCAAGACTAGGAAAAGATTTTTTTTAAATAATTGTTAGTCAGTAATTAAGATGTAACATGTAAAATTCCAGTGAAGAATTTAGTTTAACTCAAAACCCTAGGTAGAGTAAAAATGAATAAATAAATGTGAATCCTTCTGTACACAGAAGAATTCATGCTCGCAGAATTCGCTTCTATAAGGTACCTGAAATTTAATTAATAATACTCGAGCGATAATAATACTTCACGCGATATATAAAACGTTTTGTGATTAGTTAATGCTAGTATTGAATTCCTTCGAATTCTGGTGCGATTTTTTTTAAAATTCCTTGAATGTTGAAAATTCATAAAGATTTGAAAAAGGAGAACTTAAAGCAAAACATTTCTTTGAAACTGAATCTTGAAAGGAAATAGATAAAATAAATTATTTAATGAATCTATTGATTAAAAATCATTGAAAAATAGAATATCTTTTTCTTCTAAACAAAAGGCAAATCGAAAGAGAAGGACTGATAAGACTTTTAACAGTGACTGCTTTTGTAATAAGAAGGATCATGGAGGCGTAAATTATTTATAAATCAGCGTTACACCTATATTTTTCCTAAACCTTTTTTACATCTAAAAAAAGGAATATTTCAATACTTTATGCTTTGAATGTAAATTAAATTATTTGTCATAACTTTTGAGATAGATGTAAAATCTATTAACTTCATTAATATTTAAAATAAAAAAGAATAATCAGTAAAGTGTTCGTATAATTTTAGAAGATACGGCAAAGTGGGGTTAAGTTTAGCCTCCAGTACTACCATGACTCCCTGCACTTTAAGTAGATGAATCTGCGGTATCTATAGGAACATAAAATTAGGCAAAACACCAACCTGTTTGTCGTCGAAATTGATGGAGACTTGACAAAAATCCACGCGAAAGACAAGATTGTTGTTTTGCTTAATTGTATATTTTACTGAGAAGTGCTTTTTTTTTCCCCCTCTCTTGATCTATAGAAATAATTATTCATCAAATATGGTTGACACATTCGAAGTCCTACAGTAAGATTTTTTGAAGCACTCAGAGTACCCTCGTCGAGAATTGACTCTGGAGCTTCAGATTATCGAACCACTACACCATTAAGCATATGAATAAAAGATTTTTAATTGTTCACATCATAAATGCAATCAAAGTTCTACTTGTCTACTAACAAAAGATTGCGGCGTCTTCCTGATGTTACAAGGTAACTCACCAGTCACACGTCACTAGTTAAGTAAAGAACTACTGCCAGAACTTTGGCCGGTTAAATTCTGAAAAATTATAGAACCAGTCATGCGAATAAAAAATAAAGGATTCCATACTTTCGGACGCGTGAATGTTTCTTAGAGATTGTGGTTAGATAATAATGTCAAAACAAATATAAAAGAGTGTTTCTTCGAGGAAACTTTCACATTTTGCGTGGATGGCGCGCTTGAACCTGAGACTTTACAAGCTCTGACACGTTCTTAAACACCGGACTTTGAGAACTGGCTGAGCACCAATAATAATCGCTTAAACAAATACAATAACTTATGCTGTGAATATATTGTAATCCTCTTATGGTATAATGACATCATGTATTACGTTATTTATTTCACTGTATGCTTCATCTGAGCATCTTTTAAAAATTGAACATTAACTGGATTTTATATGCCTTAATACTTTTGCTTTTAGGCAGAATGTAAATTTTTGTTTAGATAATTAAAATGTCGGCTTCAGTTATGTTTTCGTTTGGTTTAGTGTATTATGACAAAGCACACTACAGCTATCTATTTAAGGGAAGGGATGCCTTCGTGGAGGACTCTCTAAGGGAAAATAGCTCGTACACAAGTTAGAATTGGGGAAAATCACGAAAACGTCTATGCAGCCAGCCCGTTCACCTGAATTCGAATCCAGGTCAGAACTACCAGTGTTCAGTGATTTTACAGCTCGGTCTCTGGTGCGCCGCCTTTAGTTATGTATGTATATGTTACGGTGAAACACCGAAATCTGGAGAATGTCGACTTTCCCCGGTGAATGTCAACATTCACATAGTCTCTTGGGTATGTCCGAAATATTTTCCAAATACTCTTATTTCTGACTTACACCGGTCAATGTCGACATTCACCATGTACTAATGGTGAATGTTGAACATATAACAATATTATATTTTCTTTTCCGTAATTCAGTCGCGAATAAACGCATTTGAGACTTAAAATAAGAACTTAAGAACATGATAACCTAAAACACACAGTACATTCAAAATGAGAAAGGAAAATAATAGAAGTTAAAAACTTACTTAATTATACAGTACGTTCTAAATGAGAAAATAAAATAACAGTAATAAAAAACTTACTAAATTATGTGATTCAAATCTTATTTATTGCAACAACTTAAACTATTATGGCACTTTATGACCTCTCTCTTTTCGACTTTCACCAGAGCATATCTGTGATTGTAGACATACACCGATGAGGGTCCGAAAATATAAGAATGTAGTGAAATATTCGGTCTTTCACCGACGTATTTGGTGAATGTTGATATTCTCCGGTGAAAGTCGACATTCTCCAATTTCGGTCTTTCACGGTAACATATACACTACGAAATGTGATTTTTAAAAAATAACTGTAAATGGTGCATTATTCAGATCTATTTCAGGCAATCTAGAAATGAACTTGATGTGCGTGTTGTATTCCTTGGTATTCGATCCTCCTTTTGAATCAATTAAAGAGCAAGATTATGTAATTTTAAACAAATAATATTTATTACCATTCAGTTTTTGCGATGAGAAATTTTTATGATCATCAAGTGTAAATTCTATGCATACTTAATAATATAACTCACTACATATTCATGTAACAAAACAAAATCCTTCTTTTTTCTAGTTCACTACATGTGCGAAATAAAAATGTTCCAGTGCGAAAATTCTCGTTGTATATGGAAGGGACTCACATGCGATGGTCATAACAATTGCGGTGACCAGAGCGATGAATTTCCACATGGCATGGCTAATTGCGGTAAGTAATCTATTTAATTTTCATGCCTCTTTCAAACTGCCAGTCGCTGAGAGTGTAAGATTACTAGTAAAAATTGCCGCTGTTTTGTTTCAGTTCCGAAAGGATTAAAAACAAAACAAACAAAAAAAAAAAAAAAAAAAAAAAAAGACTGTTAATAATAGAAAGGATCACTAGAAAGATTCCAAAGATTAAGATTTGAATTTGTGCTTAAAGAATATAGATTTTGGTTTTCTCAGGTAGCGCAAACTGGACTAACTCTTGTAAAGGCTGGTGGCGAATTATCGCTATGTCTTGAAGTACCACAAAGACAGGGAAAGTGTGTTAAGAACCCTTTTATTAACTCAAATAAAGGTTAACAGACGGCATCAACTCGTTCTTACAGAAGCCAACAGACAGGTGGCAGGTGACAGCAGGGCCGGACATCCGAACGGCTTGCAAAGACTAATCGGGTATAGTCCGGGACCCGCTCCATCTAGAGCATAACATGTTTACGACATAAATACCTAGCGTTGCATTACCTACACGACAAGAGGGCATTGCATGGCAACATAACATAGCTCAGCATAGACATGACATGGCATAGCATTTCGACGTGACATAGTAGAGAATATAGTCATTGCATAGCGACATAACATATTTACAACATTAAATACACAACGTAATGTAACTTACACGACTGGTGGACATAGTATAGCGACATCCTGTATACTTGATGTCTGCTTTAATAAGCCTGCAAAATTCTACCTAATGAGCAAGTTTAACTGGCATATTCATAATCAGCGAATGAATATTAGTGAATATTTAATGTTTTTACTTCACTTACCGTTTCAGTACATTTCAGTGTATTTATGAGTTTCTTCAATAGTTTAAAGCGTCTAATAACCTCAAAACAACCATAAGACTGTCAGATGATTAATTGTTCTGTCTAACTTCTAACTAAAAGGATCATAACTCAAATTGAAGGTTTTAAAATAGAAGTTATTTATTAACATGTCAACTCGACGGTTAAGCAAACTGAAAAGTAAACAGAAATAAAACTCGCTGCTTGAGGTCATTTCAGGTCATGTGTTTAAATTCAAATATAATTAGAAATGCAAATTCAACACGCCGTATTAAACTTAGTCCTAAGATTTCAAAAAGGAAGCGATTGCCCAAATCTTAGCCTGTTATTTAAGTTCAACCAGCAAGGAAGCTAAGCAGAACCAAAGAATTTGTTAGGGAGTTTGTTTATAATTCCCTACAAATTCTTTAAGCAGAACTAACGGTCAGCCTATGCTGCGGAAAGATCTCGCACTCTAAACCAGGAACAGTCCAAGGTCCGTAAAGTGATTTTACTAACCTTGGGAGTAGTCAACCTAGTCCCTAATAACGCCCACTAGTGCGCGATTTAAACTTTCACGGTGGGCGGTGCAGGGATAAATAGATCCTGGGTCCTGGGGCAGTGGAGGTTTGTATCCGATAATGATCAAGGAAGATCGAAACATGCATGGATGTTGTATAGGTACTTAACATACCCCTTAAAATTTAGTTCTCTACTTGACCATTCCCCCCTCTCCTGTTTCCATATATTTATACGGTTTTGTTGTTTGTTGATGAATTTTCTGTATATTAAAATTTTATTATTGTAAATTACAGTATGAATAAATGCATAAATTTAATATATATTTTTTTCTAAACCACCACTTAAAAACTTCTTTGCAGCTGCGTTATATTAAGTTACTTTGAACGGTGGGCAGTACAAAAATTTTACTCCCTACAAAGTGGGCGGTAAGTACAAAAAGGTTGCCTACCCATGCTCTAAACTCAAGAATTCTGCTTTTATTTACGCTTTAACTAATTCGCATTCCAGTTGGAGTTCACAAAAGTCATCCAAAATAATAAGATAACTGAGTTAATTAATATAAAACTTTACATATTTAATCCAAAATAATAAGATAACTGAGTTAATTAATGTAAAACTTTACATACTTAATCTCCTGTAATTCAGTAATGTGATCATTTTAAATTGCGACGACATTGTTAAGTGAAACTAATTTAATTAGATTATAAGAATTGATAATAACTAAATGCATGATGTTTTATTAAAACTGTCTTTGAATAGGATCTCTTAACCCTGGAACAATAGCAGGAATCGTAGCTGGGTCTGTGATTGGCTTCCTTGTACTTGTCTGTGTTTCTCTGGCCTGCTGTAGATGTTCACGATGCAGCAAATCCCAGACCACTGAACGAGAACCTGTACTTATAGAGCCTACTTCAGATTATGGTTCTGGCACTGCAAGAGGTAACATTCAAGAACCTGAAGCATCTGAACCTAGTTCTTCCTATGGCAGGTTTCCTGATCTACCACCACCATATAAACCGTGAAACCTTGAAATAAAATTTAATGAACAGTTATTTTTTGATAAATTATATTTTGAACTTACTACTGCACAAGCTTGTGAAACACATTGCAAATAGCAAATAAGTAATTTTTAGCAATGTTTGATTTTTTCATCCTTTGACAGATATTAAGTATCCAGAATACTAAATAGATTATCCATAAACCCGTTCTTCTATTTTAAATTTTTTACACTTATTTATTATGTTGCCGTTCTCTATAAAACATGGAAGAGATCAGATATAAATAATACTTACTCTATAAGGGAAGTGATATTAGTAATTCTAATATATTTAAGAACTTTGTTCAAGATATTAATAACAGTTTCTTAATATTCGAGTGCTTAAAGAACTAAAATGTATTCTACTACGAGTGCATACATTTTTAAAAGTGATGTAAAATATCCAAATATTCATAAATATGTATATCACTAAAAGTTCCTGCCAATGTAAAACAACAATGCATTTTATTCTTATAGATTTATAGAGCTTTAAAGCTCACTAAGCACTTTCATTCTTTCACGTGTCCCACATCTCTTAGTAAATGCTGCCTATTCAGTCATCATATAGATATAATAGAGATGCTATCTCCGCAATCTCAATCAGTAGTGTGGTGGAAACGACAGCATGTCAGATTATGAGCGATTTTGACTGTTATAACGACAGGTGTAGTGCTTATGAGATGAATCGTTTCATTTTGAAAATATGAAAGAAATTCATAGTCTCAAATTTCACCACTTTTAAGCGTCAGCCTGAAATACACAAAATCAGCAAGGTTATACAACGCACAACAGCAGTGTATTAGTAGAAAGGTCCTGAACAAATCTAAGCTGGCTGGCTCCATCATAGCATCCAGCTGGCACTGAGATTTGAGCAAATAGCAAAGACATTAAAATGTTGTGGTCAACGAAACATTCGCTGTGTTCTGCGAGATTTAAAAAACACGGCCCATTCGGATGCCCATAATACATAATTCTAGGCCTTGCTTGGGCTTGAATTTATCACCATTTGGTGCAAAATGACTGTCAACATCCGATGAATCGAAGAATTACAGTACAAAGTCCGATAGTCAACTGTGGTTTGACCACCTGACTTTAAATTGTTGGTGAGAGACGATTTTAAAGTGCAAGCTATGGATCTCGAATATCGGCAACGATACTTCAGAAGGTGGCTGTTATCTGACGTCAATGCATGTATTAGGAAACCCTCGTTCATTTCTAGACCTGTTTGCCTAGTGGAAATTACTTTACTGTCTTCGGGGATTATCTAAAGGCTTTCATACCGGATATTCACTCAGAGGATGCGGCCTTTTTGAGCAACATAATGTTCTGTTGTGGAAGTCTGGAGTCACTAGATTAAAGCTGAAGAAGTGTTCCTTGGAATTCGATTGTGATTTAACCTCTTTGCTCACCAAATTAAAAATAATGGGAAGTGGGACGCTATTCAAAGTGCCGTCAGTGCCACGAATGCATTATCGACGAAATTTTTCAAAACTGTGGACTTTGACAGAACAATCCCCCTTTTTATTCCTTTCAAAAATATTCATAGAAAATTAAGTACATGGAAATCAGAAATTAGCAGCAATATTTAACGTATTTCATTATTAAAACAAAATGTACTCTAATTTGAAATGAACAGAGAAAGCATTGATTATAGAGTGACTATGGTTTCTGATTTAAAAGATGCCTTAGAAGCCGAAAATCATCTCGTATTTAAGAAAGTACATCAGAAAGAAGCTCTGTAAATAGAAAATAAATAATGCGTAATTTTAATATTATAATACAGTAAGCTTTGATTTTAATTTTTGTAATCGTTAACCGAATTACCTTAAAATTTCTTTCTAATGTAATTAATGAAAACTTGTGAAAACATTTCATTCAAATTAAAACTGTTCTGTGAAACGTATAGCATTTTATTCCGTTCAGAATGAAATGTTTAAAAACGTATTCTTTCACATACTTAGGAATATGATATATTGTAAAAAAAGAAAATATATACATTTATACTTATATTTACGATTTAATTACAAAAAGTTTACCTCCGATCATGTCAAAACCTATTAATCTTAATGGCAAGCCACTGAATGTTTTATCACCAATAAGGAGTGCGTCGTCATTGCTTCAAGACAGTGTATGGAAAAAAGTTAGTTCGGACCAATCCTCTATTTCCTACCTCCATGGGGCATACTGAAGGACGAGCGACCTCTGAGAGGGAAGGGCCTCCGAAGAATCTTATGTTTCAAGTACATGTACATATTTGAAAGAATATAAAAAAGGACGAAGCTAAAAAGTGGTCTGCATTGAAAATGTTAAAATTTATCCTGGAAATGGACCTCCAAGAATTAAATTCTTAATTATTGTGGAAATGAACTTCCAAGAATCCATTTTTAACTTATATTTGGAATTAAAGACTTCTGACAGTGTGTGTTTCAGTTGCTTCTTGCGAGAGAAGCTTTCAGAGTTGAAAGTGATTACGTGATCGACAATCAGCCAAGTATGTTTGAACGGATTTTCAATGGAAAGGTTTGGCAATCCTTCCCATTGAAAATGCAGTAGCTATAAACATTAATTTTTAAGACGCTATTGAAAAATTTCAGAAATCAAGGCTCAAAATTCAATTTCAGCTTTTTTCGTTGTTAAAAGAAAAGTTTAAAATATTTTATATCATTAAACATGGCAGATAAGCTTTTATAAATATACATGTTCGTCTGCAAGATGTAAGTTGTTTTCCCGTTAGCCTTAAGATTTTTTATTTCCAAATTATTTAAAATATTAAATTTTAATTAAATAAATATTAATTATATATTTGTGTTGACATTTTGAATGGCGATCATTTCAGTAAGGGTGGGAGCCAGGGAGATGTCAACTCCTGTCTTCGATAGCTGTGCGTCTCCCACTGTCCCTAACTTGCATTTCGTGGAGATTAGTCTATAAGGTATTTTTTCCGCTTTCTTAACATGCCTTCGTGGAGTAGTAGTCAGCACACTTGGCGCGTATTCGATAGGTCCGTGGTTCGAGTCCCGGCGAAGGCATTGCTCATTTTTAGTCTTCAGCATCGAAATACCCTAATAGTCTCTACAAGTCTGTCTCAGTCATGTCTGACAGTCGCGAAAGTAATGAGTGAACAGCTGCCTCTGAACGCAACGTAATCAACTGCCTCTGAACGCAACGTAGAACAATACAACGTAACCAAATTTCTAGTCTGAGAAAACGTCCAGACATCTGAAATTTGGCAGAGACTTCAAGCACAGTATGGGAAAGTGTCTGTCTAGGGCTTATGCGTTTGAGTGGTGTATGTGAGAACAAGACCGCGAGGAGAGCATCCATCACCCCGAAAAACACTGAATTTGAAATGCCATAATTCGTTAGAATAGGCACACCACTAACAAAGAACTTAAGTGAATGCTTTCAGTCATTGTTGGTAGTGTAGAAACTATTATGAAAAACATTTGCACTGGGCAAGCTATATGTCGGGTGGATTCCACGCACGTTGATAGCGGAGAGCAAAGTGATACGCATGGAAACTGCCAGTTCTCTGCTACGACGGTCTGAAGATTAATTAAGGCGATGCATTTTAGAAGCTCATAGCGACCGCAATGAAGCTTGGGTACCTACTTCAATACCGAGTCCCAGGCTGAAATCCCACTTGGAAGGCATGCAGTTCATAGATAACGACACCATCATCGTCAGTGTTCAGCAGTAGGTATACAGCCAACTTGAAAATTTCCATGAAAAGGGCATAAAAATATTTTCAAAACGTTTCCAAAAATGTATCTAGTCCGTAGGGGAGTATGTTGAAGAATGACATGTTCAGTTTTTCATTCGCAATAAAGTTTTAGTTAAAAAAGAATTCAGTCCCGCTCATATTTGAATCACCTTGTAAATGAATCTAAGAATTAAGAATCGCAAACAATATTTTAAGGTAAATACTATAAAGTCTTCCCATATTGTAATAAAAAACGACAGCAACTATCCTGATATGTTTAAGGATCAGAAGATTGATTTGATTAATGTTTGCAGAAGTACATACGAACGAAAGTAGATATAAGCACCAGTGCAGAAATCAGCTTATCAGTGTAAAAAAGTCTGCATAATGTATTACTGGCCGATACATTTTTTTTTATTCATATCAGAAGTGGAACCAGATTTCTAATTTTATTGTTTTACTGCGGCTAAACACTCTTTTAGGGAGTGCATTTAATCAATTAAGATTTTCAGTTAAGAAATTCCGCATGCCTTCGTGGTGTAACTGGATGCACGCTCGATGTGTATTCGGGAGGTCCGGAGCTCGAATCCCTGAGAGGGCACTGCGGATTTCTTCAGTTCTCTGACATCGAAAAATTCGAAGTGACTGTACAAGTAGCTCCCGAATTAAAAAGGTGGTGGACGATAATTCGTCGCCCTTTAGAAAGGGAAGGTACTTTCCCCGTCCTTTCCGCATGCCTTCGTGGTCTAACTGGAAGCCAGCTCGACGCGTATTTGGTGGTCAGGAGTTATAATCAAGCATATTTGAGGGTTAAGATTTAAGCCATTGCACATTTTTTACGTTCCAACATCGATATAACCCAATGACTCCAAAATATGCCAACGAACGATACAAAATATTTCCCAAATGCGTCTTTTTTGCAACGGAGCATTTGATAGCTTTTCCTCTATTATATTATAATAACAGTGATAACAATTTCATCTATAAGTTGGATATATTTTGGTTAGATCTTACGCAAATGAAAGTAATAACGTAGAAAGTGTCTTCTTTAAAAAAGCTAATATAATTTACAAAAAAAGGAAAAGAAAAGAAAAGGAAAGAAATTCGATCAGCGTTCGAAGCCCATTGAAATCTTAAAATTTTGTTTTATAATTGAAGTTATGAAACTTGACTTTCGTACTAGATTATCGTTGCTAATAAGACAAGACTATAAGAGCGAAATGATGTACTGTAGTACTCCCATGGTGATTAGCTTGTGAATTAGTCCTTCTAGCCAAGCACGCTTAGACGCCCTAGCTAAATGGAGGAAAACAGCTCCATTATAAATCTCTTAAAAGGCCAGTGGAAATCTGCTCCACGACTACATAGTCGTCTTATATAGTAGAGATATAGATAAT